CACACACACACACACACACACACACACACACACACACACACACACACACACACACACACACACACACACACAAACTGACTATTAGCAGTGTGTACACATCTTGTTAACACATCTTAACGCCCACCAGTGGTAGATTATCTGCTTCTAACCTGGTGCCTTTCCTTCTTTATCTTCTGTAAATGTCAACAATTCTTTTCTTCCACTGTTTTTTTCTGATTTTATTTGTGTGGTTTTATGACTCTAGGGGACATAACACACACCTAATTATGTTCTGACACTTTACAGACAAAGAACCCGATGAACCCGACTGCCTCCTTTTCATTTAAAGGGCCCGTCTGGTCATTTCCAAAGTCATTTTCTGTCAGTGGAACCGTATCAGTTAGGTTAGATTCACAAATGTCCTGGTTGGATCTGTTGACAGTTTCGTGATCCTTGTTGCTTTTGTTGTTGTTTGACTGATTCTGTTTCACCCTGAAATGTTCTGCTTGCCATTTATTTTGTAGTTAAAATTAATCGTGCTGGCTCTTCCTGTTTCTCTTATGTTTTTACTACAACAACTGTTGTCGCCTCTGTTTGCCAGTTAGCAAAATATTTTATGTACCAAGTGAGAGATCTAAATAAAAATCACTTTATGCACATTGACAACTGATTAACTTTTTATTCAACATCCAGTCAATACTCAGACCTAAAATGTCTTGAGTAAAATTTGCAGATATTGAACTAAAATGTGGGGTGGTAGTGGCTGAGAGTCGTGCTTAACAGATCACTCTAATCACTGCAATTTGTACAATATCTTTGCTTAAAACTTTAGCATTAACTTTTGTGTGTGTCTGTTAGCAAAATATTTCATGAACCATTGGACTGGTTTCAGAGGCACACTGAGACTCACTGACATTTGAAGTCAATTCAAGATGGCCACCAAAATTAAAACATTAGCCAACACAAAAATGTCTAAAACACAGTGAGTTTTAGGGGTTGGTCACAATTTTCAACATTTTCTCGAGTGTACGCTGGGAGGGAATGGGTTATGTACGGAGCCCGTGAGTGGACATGGGGGGATTTTTTTTCTTTTGCGTTCCCATGCAATATATTTGCGTTACCTCGCAATACTTTTGCGTTACCTCGCAATATTGTTTTGCATTCTCACGCAAAATATTGTTTTGTATATGAACTGAATTAAATCAGACTTTTATTTTGAAATATCCAGTTACCAAAACAGGATGTGTCGCCACAAGTTTGTGAAATTGACATTGATGTTGCGTGGCTGCACTGTGTTCAAATATCAACATATGACATACTTCCATGTGTGGCTGTGTGATATATTCATTCTGAAGCTGAATTAAAGCAGTAAGCTAACTCGCTAATGGTGAACATGTGTGTTTGTTAATAAACCGGCAGGCACAACAGTGATAAACTACTTTTGCGAGGGAATGCAGAAGGTATTGCGAAGTGACGCAATACTGTTGCGTGGGAATGCAAAAGAAAAAAAAATCCCCCGTGTCCTCTCGCGGGGTCCGTAGTTATGGACTGGTATACGCTTGTTGAAATTAAAAAAATGTTGAACATGTTTATTTATTTAATTTTTGTTATGTCTTGTATAACCGACATGCTGCTGTGTTTTTTCCCCCCACATGGCAAATATTGACGCACCATGTGGTGTATGGTGAGCTGTGAGCCCCTCAGAGCAGAGCTCCCCGCTGCACTCAGACACACTGAAAACAAACCATGCATGTGCACAGCCGTCACTAATAGCTCTGTCGCTGACCGACACCCTGCACCGTGCCCCCCGACCTCCCCGGGACTTTTGTCTCTAACTTTGCATTAAACATTAATGTGTTTGGAACGTCACCATCATTGGACAGATAAGTCCAACTTGTGTGTGTGACTGTTCAAACAGGATGTTATATTTTTATGGAGGGTTTATTAATCCATCATGACAACAAAGAAATAATTTCACATCTAAAGGCTTCCCCCCGGTGCATGCTGTGGCTGCGTACTCTCTCTCTCTCCTGTGTGAGCTGTAACATATTCTGGGTAGCCCTGTGGCCATTATGTGTGCAATGTTTAAAACTGTTTACGATGTTAATGAGTGTGGAAATGTTTTGTTCTCTTTAATGTCACCCGCTTCGGATGTTATCATCCATGAAATGGACGTTATTAGGCGTTATCAGTCCCCTAGAATGGCTTCAGAATGTTCCGCCTGTGCCGGTTAGCAGGTTCCCCAACCCATACAATGGCTTCTGATTGTCAGCTGGTTAATATGAGGCATAAAAAACTGGTTAATATGAGGCATAAAAAAACTGGTTAATATGAGGCTTAAAGCCACTAAGGTTAATTTTAGAGCAAATGACATAGTTAGCGCTAAAAACACCGCCCTCCAATGGCTTTATATTGTGGTCTTCCAATAGAGCAATGGGTACAGTGTCAGATCAGAGAGTGGGAGATCAGGGTTCCTGACCGACATGGACACAAAAAATTTATTACAATATCTTTTGGTTATTTACACATTCATTGTCATTGATATTTTAACCCACTAGGGGGCACTGTCGGGACAGTCTAAAGCCCATAAGGCATAGTAGGGACCCTCTGAAGCCATTGTATGGGACAAATAACGCCTAATAACGTCCATTTCATGGACTGATAACATCAGAAACCCCTGTTAATGTTCTATTCAGGTTTGATTTGGTATTTATGTTAAAGTCTCTGGTATTGGCTGTAAACTGTTTGTATAATGCTTTTCTTAAAGTTAAAAAAGTTTTTGTTAAAGCCAACACAAGAAAAGTTTGCTTGTGAAAATGCTGAAAATTGTAAGTCACCCCTTAAAGCCGTGTCACAGTTTATGCCAACATATGATTCTTTTGTCCAACACTGAAGATGTATAAGTTGTATCAGGTAAAAAAAAAACGTCTTCTGGAAGCCTCTTTTGCACCTATGCATAATAGTGTTAACAGATGAAATATATAGATGATATTGCCGTACGATGGCTCAGTTGGTAGAGCTGATGACTCTCAGCAAGAAGGTTGCCGGATCAAATCCCGATCCGGGGAGCTTTCTGGGTAGAGTTTGCATGTTCTCTCTGTGCATGTGTGGGTTTTCTCCGGGCACTCCGGCTTTCTCCCACAGACCAAAAACATGACTGTTAGGTTAATTGATAACTCTAAATTGTCCCTAGGTGTGAGTGAGAGAGTGAGTGGTTGTTTGTCTCGTTTGTCTCTGTGTGTGGCCCTGTGATGGACTTGTGACCTGTCCAGGGTGTACCCCGCCCCTCATAATAGTTACTGCTGGAAATGGGCACCAGTGACCCCCGTGACCCTAGAAAAGCAGTGTTGTATAAAGTACTTCAAGGTGATACTTGAGTAAAAGTACAAGTATCTTATCATAAAAAGACTTTGGTAAAAGTTAAAGTCTTCTCTAAAAATATTACTTGAGTAAAAGTCTTAAAGTTTCTGAAATTTTTTGTACTTAAGTATCAAAAGTAAATTTCAGACACAAAATCTATTTAAGTATTAAAAGTAAAAGTACTGTGTAAAAGTGAGCAGTTAGATTTTCCAAAATGACATTTATTGGGAGGTGGCTTCTCAAAAAAANAAAAGTACTGAGTAAAAGTGAGCAGTTAGATTTTCCAAAATGACATTTATTAGGAGGAGACTTCAAAAAATATTTTTTCTAACGGCGTGCAGCTGTGATGGGTTGTGTACAAGATAATAGGGTGAATTGTATATATTTATACTTCTCATCCAACCACAATTAAATTCACTCTATCCAGGAGACACAATTTATCAGGATAGTATTTTTAAAGTAATAACTCAGAATAAAATAGGAGTAACGACTTTCTACTTCTTACCTTTTTAAAAAATGTAGTGAGTAGAAAGTACAGATAATTGTGAAAAAGTAAAAAGTACGCTGAAAAATAATTACTCAAGTAAAGTACAGATAAGCAAAATTTCTACTTAAGTACAGTAACAAAGTATTTGTACTTAGTTACTTTACAACTCTGTAGAAAAGGAATAAACGGGTATAGATAATGGATGGATGTAGCTGATATTAGTAAAATACACAACAAAATTTTCATACGTTTTCATAAGTTGTCTAAAACATTATAGTGTGATAAGACCATTGTTCATGTTGAAAAAGATCAGTCATATGGAGCAGTTTACAGTCAAGTTATGACAAAAGGAAGTTCAAACTTTTTTATTGATACATTAAGTTACAAAGAAACAAAATTACATAGAAAATTTCCCTTCAGAGGAAAAGTTTACTGCTTGTTCTGCTCAGCTCCCACTCTTCAGTATTTATACCATTTGGTGTGTTCAGCAGGTAAACAGACACCATGGCTGCACAGGAACCGTCCCCTCCTTCGTCCATGGAGAGCAATAAACCCGGCTTTCCCAAGAAGATCCTGGGCAACAAGCTGGAGGACAAACACCTGTGCAACTGCTGCCACAATATCCTCAGACGGCCGTTCCAAGCTCAGTGTGGACATCGCTTTTGTTCCTACTGCTTCAACAGGACTGTGAGGTGAGGATCTGACTGGGTTTCAGTAGTTACTATATGCAATTAAAATTTGGCACAATTACCTGTGCTAAAGCATAGAAATTAATATTTTTGCATATACAAGTGTTCTTTATCTTGCTTGAAATTATGTTTTTATAGAGATTTATAGGAACATTTATCTCACTGTTTGGCTATTGAACACTGTGGTTCAATCCATTGCAGTGGTGGGCAGTGCTAATCCAAAAATTAGCTCCAAAATTTCTAAAGCGCTTTTAAAATATTTAAGTCCACAACTTCAAAACCGCTTGTGCCGTAGAAAAACTAGCAGAAGCTAATTTTAAAGTGCAAGTTCAATTTGACACTTACTAGATAACAATTCATGTACAATATGCACAACACTGCCAACTAGTGGTGTGTAAACTCTTTTACAACTTATTCTATAACTGCAGATTGCTGGGGATGTGATTTCCTGAAACAGAACTTTGGCTCCTGGTGTAAAAATTAAAAAGTTGTTGAGGATTGCTAGTTTGGCTGCTTCTTTGTCTTTTTCTTTTGTTTGTTGTAGATTTTTCATTAAAGAATCATCAATAAAGTAATTTTAAAACTGTTTAACGGAAAACTGAAGCGATGCATTCTGGGTACAATGACGGACTCACAGGAAACGAAAGCACGGAGAACAGGAAACTAGTATCTTCCCTTCAAAATAAGAGCTTGGATTTTAAAGTTTTTCATGTTTCCATTGGATTTTAAAATTTTCCAGTTCACTTGAAACTCATCAGACTGAAATAGACAAAAGAAAGAGACAAAATGTTTCACTAAAGAAGAACCACCCAGAGGACCTACTTATTTTTTCTTTAAGATTTTTTTCTACCTGGATCAGGACGTTTTCCATGTAGTTGCCCAGTTGACCACTAGATGTCAGTCTTCACCAGCATAACATCTTTACATCATTTCTGAGTCTCTAACCCCGTTGGCTGATTGCTTTTGAGCTCCAGTGTTTAAACTTTATTATTTTAAAAAAAGGAGCTCAGATTGTAAAGTAAAATAAATCAATACATACAAAATTTTAGTATAGATTACAAACGTTAACTGTTTTTGCTATTGCCTTCCTGCTACAAAAGTAGACACGAAGCATTGAGGGAAATTAGAACCGTGACCAAAAGCAACAGTCAGCAGGATGTGTACTTTCCCAGCAAGTGTGTTTATCTGGGAGGGGTGGTGTTAGACAGATCAGATGTGTTGTGATTCATTGACAGCCTTACCAAAAGGTAAGGAAGGAATAGCAACCTTCCGTTGCTATTCAAGATAATGATGACTGGTAGATAATTAGTTATTAGCGGTACTGCATTTTAATTTCAGAAAGCGTAAATCCGCTTATGAATTATAAAAATTAGAAAGTCCGCTAAAGTGCAAATGAAATATTTAGGTCTACAATTAGTGAATTTGCGCTTCAGCGGGCTTGTGCCCACCACTGATCTATTGCATTATTTTCAAACACACTAAAAACTGCAACAGCATTTTTGAGTTGTAGTTCATCCAAGTTGTTTCTTTGCAGTAATGGACCCCAGAAATGCAACGCTTGCATTAAAGAAGATATTTTTGAGGAGCCTACATCAATTTTGAAACAAGGATGTGTAAGTATGAACAAATTATATTTTATCATATCTTAGCTTATTTTAAGGCCAATAATGAGATCCTTCTCATCTTCTCTATTTATATTAACAGAGCTTGTCCAGAACAGAGGTAGATACAAATAGTTCATGTTATTATTTATGTAAACATGAATCAAAAATTAAAATAATTACTTGAAGGATTGTAATTTACCCACCACCTTTCATGTCAGGTTTTAAACAAAGATTAACTTAGGATGAGAAATAAAGTTGTAGTCAGTTTGCTCAGACCTTCTAAGGGATGTTTTTCCACAATCTCAAGCAAGATTTCACAAGATGTGTATTTCTCAGATCACAGGTAGACTATGACTGTCAGAAACTACCTTTCCAAATTTAACTCATAATCTGCAAAACTAACCAAGTTACAGCCAATTCTGTGTTGGCTTATTACAATAAGCAGTAGTGGCCTTTATTAACTGAGGGTCACTCAATCAGTTGTTAATGTACTTCCAGAGATTGCTTTTTAGTTTCACTAAAATTTGTCCAAAGCTAAATCTAAAGCATGAATACTGCACAATACACAGAGTATATGTTGGGGATGTAATCGGTCGTCCAGTGTTTCAACACCAATTTGTTAAATAGTTCACGAGATATTTTGCTAACACTACTGCCAAACAAACACACACATAATCAATATCACCTTTGTTTACCTTTGTTAGTTATTACACAAACTCAAGTGGTTATACTGAAAAAACATAATCTATAATCAGGGTGGCACATAAGCGGTGCGCATGCGCAATCAAAAAAGAAAACACGCACCAGATGGAACGTCATAAAGCTCACTTGCGTACCTAAGATTGTACCTGAGATTGCCTGTCAAAACAACAATTAGCAGGGCTCTAGAGTACAACCAGTTTGGTCGCAAATGCGACCTGATTTCTTAAAGAAAATAATAATAATAATCCAGCCGCACTGGTGTGACTGGATTGTTGTTCGGTGCTCACCAAGCCTCTAAGGACAGTGGGACCCTGATATAAGGATTAAACGGACACTGCCTTCAACAAATCAAATGAAGTCCAGAGCCGTTTTATTCAATCAGAGCAGAGCAGGGCGGGACTTTCAGTGAGAGCAGTTTTCAGCAGAGACAAAGGTTGAAGCAGCGGCTTGACTCGAGCAGCGGTTGCAGCGATCAGTCCTGACACCTCCTTCTGCACTTTACTCCTGAACTACCAGAGACTTTGGTCTGTAAAACATAACTTTATATTAAATATATGTTCAGAGTGACAGATCTGTCCAACTCTGTGTGAGTGACTAAACTCTCCTCCTGAGAGACTGCTGTATAAGTCTTTCTGTGAGATTCACTGAGTTTTTCTAATCAAACCACATTAACTAACAGAACATTTGTTTGCCCCATATTAAAACAAAGATGATTCTCTGTTTAACACCCCTGTCAAAAAATATATTTATTAATACAAAAACAACTTGCCATGTTCTCTAGGTGAATGAGTTTTAAATGTTATTTTAATTTATCATAAGGATCCACAAATTTCATTCACAATTTTATCAAAAAACAAGGTTCTTGATGTGCTAAACTTGTTTATATTTAGAACCACACTGTGACACAGCTGCTCTGGGATAAATGTAATTTATTAAATGATCAAATAACTAGAGAATTTGCATTTCCTACGAAAATGCAAGGGTGAATGCCATTTGCGCAGAACTATAGCTGAAATAGTGGAAAAATAGCAGAAAGTAGCAGAACTATAGCTGAAATAGTGGAAGAATAGCAGAAAGTAGCAGAACTATAGCTGAAATAGCANAGAATAGCAGAAAGTAGCAGAACTATAGCTGAAATAGCACATAGCAGAAAGTAGCAGAACTATAGCTGAAATAGCATAAAAGGTAAAAGCTAAATGCTAAAATAGCTGAATATAGCAGAAAGCAAATGTAAGAATCATAAATAACTGAAAGTAGCAGAAAGAAGCACAAGAAGTTAAAAATATCAGAAGAATATTAGAAGGAAGAAGAATTTTAGCTGAAATGACTGAAAAAGATAAAACTAGCAAGAATGTAGATAAAATTGTCACAAGTAATGTAATAGGTGCAAAACCAGAATATAATGTGTTAGGTTCTGTAAAGATTTAGAAATATTATGAAGAAATTTAAGGATGTTGAATCAAGCTCCATTCATTTCCATTGGGAAAAAAGTAGCCAAAATAGCTGTGGCCACAAATATTGAAGTTTCTTGATGCTTCAATATGTTATAGAGCATGCTCTCAGCTACCAGTACATAAGTTTTCATGTCAATATCTCAAACAGTGGCTGAGTAAAAGTCCTTTAAAAATAGCTTTGGCGGCCATCTTGGATTTTTATTTTTGCTGCATTTTATGATAGAGCAAAGTCTCATAGCCCCATTCAAAGTCAATGGGGCAAAAATCAGCTAAAAAAGTGAAATAGCTAAAAAAGTATAAGTAGCTGAAATCCCCGGAGATATAGCAGGCATGGCATTAATGAGCCGGACGTTTTGATATATGAATTGTACGAATCGGACAAAAACTGTAGGACGAGATAGGTGCCGAAAAACGTACAATATAGAGAAAAACAAAAACAATAGGTTGAATGCCTAAAGGCATTCACCCAATTACATGAGCTGAAACCATCTAAATAGTATTATATTTTTGAATAAAAGTCTTTTAAAAAGAAATCAGTCTAACAAATAAAACATTTGTTTGTTTTAAGTTATTTTGCTCTGTACAAAAGACAGATATTTGCTGGTTGGACTGGAGAGTGTGGAAAGCTGGTTTAACCAAGGCTGAAGATGCAGAAGGTCAAACTACAGGAGCTGTCCATCTGAGGGACATGTTAGTCTAAAAGACATTTAACCATGAAATGTTCAGTTTGTGATGTTTATATGACATACACCCAGCCCCTCGGACACTTAGCTAGTTTACAAAATTTATACAGAGTAAAAAAATAAAATAAAAGCTTGTTGGACTGATTTAACATGATGTCCTGAGACGTTGCAGCTGACAGGAGTCATAAAACAGAACAGGGGGACGTTAGATGACCTGACGCCCCTCTAGATAAATGTGTTCAATGAGTGAAGGAAAATATGAGTGAGCACCAAGCAACAACCCTAGGTTCTCCCCTGAGAACCAGACCAAACATTTTATGTGCAACCATGGTTATAATAAAATAAATGTTATTTTTGAAGGTATGCCTAGTGATGGTGAGATGAAGCTTCCCGATGCACTGAAGCTTTCCATCCGAGTCGAAGCATCGTCATGCTTCATTTGCTCCACTGCGCCATCAAGTGGACAATAAGTGTGAACAAGTTTATAATGACGTGACTTGTTTATGAAGCTTTAAGTTGAATAAAGAAAAATGTATGTGTGTTTGTGATGACCATAAATAAAGTCTAAATTTGACTTGAATATATTTTAATCTCTTGATCATAGAATCCTCATTGATCATTTGATAGAATGAAAAAACAGTTTCTCTTTTTTTTTAAATACATGTGGCATTGTATCCAAGTTCTGTTGAACACACCTTTTAAGACAACAAAATTAGAAAAAACAACCCTGAGCAAAAACTAGTATATGCAAGTATCCTTTAAGTAAAGTACTTTAAACTAAAAATAAAAGAGTATACTTCCAGTTTACTTTTTATGTACTTATCTGAGATATACGTAACCATGTTTATCTTACACTATGCATGGCTTGTACTCAAAGTATACTAAAAGTTTAATTATACTTATTCTATACTAATGTTTAAACTTTTGGCCAAGATAAACTTTAGTATTACACTTTTCACACAGACTGGTTTATTCAAGATTAAACTAAAAGTATACTTAGATTACTTTCAATATACTTCTGATTATACGTTTATAAACTTATTGTGGGCCAATTTAGTCCCAGAAGTATACTTTATAGTAAACTGCTAGTATACTTGTATCAATATATATATATTGATACAATATGCATCAATATGTATGTATATGTATGTAATGGTAAATAAAAGTACACTTAGGGAAGTAAACTTTTATATACTTCAGTATACTTAATGACATGTACTTAAATTATACTTCTTTTTGGTAAGTTTATAAACTTAAAGACATGACAGTATACTTAAAGTGTACTTTTTATAAACTAAAATGTCCCAATTTAGTATTAACAAGTATTGAATCAGTGTACTATATAGTACACAAGTACATGGTGCCTAATATACTTGATATACTTAAACTTATACTCAAGTATACTTATTAAAATGAACTTCAAGTATACAACTTTTTGGTAAGGGAAATCAGAACACATGATACAGTTTTTTGATATTTTGGTAGCCAGCAATCAGCAATGTTTTATTACTACGTGCATATGTTATTATTATTATTATTATTATTATTATTATTATTATTATTATTATTATGAGACCATGTGGAATTTTCCTCTTCCTTGCTGGTTCCATCGGACAAAAAAGTCAATCAGCTGAATTACTTAAATATACACAATACAATTTCATGACAACATAATGTTACGGGAGATTCAGCAGCGCTTTGCTGCCTCTTTCGAATCTCGCAGATACAAGCGAGCCAGTTCCTGAATCAGTCACGTGGTACGACCCAGCGAGGCTTCGAACGTCACCACGAGCGTCACCAACACAAGCCTCGATGCACACTTCACAAAAATCCTCATCCATGACTCGACACAGAAGGACACATCATTAGATATGCCGACAACCAGAGTTGCAACAAACAATGCAGTGAACTAACTGGCAGCTGAAGTTAGGGCTGCCACAAACAATTATTTTAATAATCGATTAGTCGTTGATTAATCGATTAATCGTGGCAGCCCTAGCTGAAGTATTTTTTAAAGAAAAGGATTTTAAAATCAGAGCTGTAGATCTTTTGAGTTGGTTATCATGTCCCCGCCCCCCACCAAAAAAAAAACTAATCTTAGTTTCAATGTTTGATATGTTGTGTATTTATTGATACATTTAAAACTGCATTTAGATTTTTTTACAGTTTGTAACCTAACTGTGTGTTTTCAGGCTTTTCCTGACAATGCTGTTCGAAGGGAAGTTGAAAGTCTGTCTGCTGTTTGCATTAATGAAAGCTGCACTTGGGAAGGCACAGTCAAGGAGTATGAGGTGAGAAGAGCTTCAGGTAAAATGTTGGAGACCCACCTGACATTTTAGATAAATCTGTTACCTTTTCCTGTCACAAGTTTACACACAGTTTGCCTTTAAACAGTTTGGGAAAGCCCAGAGGATGATGTCATGGCTTCAGAGGCTTTTCATAGATTAGCTGACAACATGTGAGTTAATTGGAGGCACTGTGGATGTTGTTACATGGCCCATCTCAAACATGCTGCTTCTTTGTGAGGCATCATGGAAAAATCAGAAGAAATCAGCCAAGATATCAGGAGGATAAATAAACATTACCTAAGCATAATTCTAGATAAGTTACAAAGTGGCCAAAATACAACAAATTAAATGTGCTGTGGCCGTCACAAAACCCTGAAAATCTCAATCCTGAAGAAAAGGAACGAGCAGAGCTGAAAAGGTGAAGTCATCCAGTTTAAAAGCAGTGCTGCTAAGAGAATACTAAATCTGTGACTTTACAAAACAGAATGAAAAGAGCCCCTAATTTTTTTTACTCTTATTTTGCAAATAGAAATGAGTTTGAAATCCCAAATGTTACGGGGTGCCGTTTGTAAAGTTACACAGTCAAAAATTACCACCAATATTTTTGTTTTATTTAGCCTTTTGTAAGAAAATAAGAACAGATTTATTTTTCAAAGTCAGTTTTTCACCATATGATTCATACATTTATAAAATGTCATGGTTTATAAACTAAATATTTAACTTACAAATTAAACGTTTAGTTAACAAGCTAAATATTTAACTTGTGACTTAAATATTTAGCTAGCTACCTAAATATTGAGGTTGCAACTTAAATATTTAGCTAGCAAGTGAAATATTGAACTTAAATATTTAGCCAGCAAGTGAAATAGGTAGCCAGCTAACTATTTAAGTTGCAACCTAAATATTTAGAAAGCTAGCTAAATATTTAATTTGTAAGTTAAATATTTAGTTTATAAACCATGACATTTATAAATGCATGAATCATACGGTGAAAAACTGACTTTAAAAATAAATCTGTTCTTTTTCTTATAAAAGGCTAAATAAAACAAAATATTGGTGGTCATTTTTGGCTGCGTAACTTTACAAACAGCACCCCATAAACTGTTCTAAACAGGACTTTTGTATTTTGTATTTGAACATCTGGTTCTTCAACTGCTCAAATCTTTTAATGACAGTCACGCTAGTTTTCTTCGCTCACCGTGTTGTTGTTTTTTTTTAGGTCTATTCCTCTGGCAGTTTCTCTCTAGAGACAAAACCGGGCCAGATGTGGGAATAATCATAAACAAATGATCTGCATCACCTAAAATTAAATTACTGTAAATTATAGAAAACCCGCACTGCCTAAAACAAATCACCATAAACATTAAAAAGATATACAACTTAAAATGAATTATTGTAAACAAAAAATGTGCATTAGTAGCCACACACAGAAGTAATGGCAGCATTTTAAACTAAGTTATTGAGCAGTTTGTTATTGCTTTCAGCCGGCTTGTGATCAGTCCCAGCTGCATCTATACCAAATTTTAGCTCAATAGATGTAAAACTGTCAAGGTTATTGTGATTTTTAGTTTGACTGGTCGATTAGCAGCTGTCTTGAATTGGGTTGTCTTTGGAAGTTTAGTCAGTAGAAGCTCATGAACATTTTCTGAGTTTTAAAATTCGTCCAGTGGCTCATGGGACACAGCAGACAGACACAAACACAGACACAGGAGTGATAGTTATGCCTCTTTTCTTACATTACATGTCTTCCTCTTGTTATATACAGTTTATATGAACTACTCTATGGTCTGTCAGTAAACTTCCTGTGTTTATATGGGAAGTACTGTAGATGTAGAAACTGGTCTGTGCTGGAGAGCCTCTGGAGTTTGTGGGGGGGCTGCTGTTACTTCCAGCATAATCATTTCAGGACGGCTTCAGATGGACAGAATCTAAACATTTAAACTACTTAAAGTGTTGCACACTTCATACAGTGGTGCTACCTCACTGTTTCCCCCACCCCCACAGATGAATCACGAGGGGAAGTGCGAGTTCATGATCATCCCCTGCCCCTCCTGCAAAGAACGAATCCGCTTTAGTGAACAGGAGCGCCATAATGAGCGGGAGTGCCCGGAGAGGACGCTCAACTGCAAGTACTGCAAGGAGCCATTTCACTTCAAAAATATCAAGGTTAGCCCCCCCCAACCCACCCACCCACTCAAGACTTGTTGGAGCCTTTACAGATCACAGACTCTATTTATGTGAGAATATACAAAAAAAACATGTTTTTTTTTAGGCACATGATGAAATCTGCCCCAAGTATCCAATGATCTGTGAAGGCTGTGCCAAAAAGAAAATCCCCAGAGAGAAGGTAACTGAAGAAAATCAGTTTCTTAAAGAAATGCATATCACCCGCTTCATCATCTCTTGTAGCTGTTTTGGTGAAATTTTGAAAATAACATTATGTGTGATTTTATTTGATCTGACAAGATGTCATGTTTGGAAAATGTGTTGTGATTTTCTCTCAGCTACCATCACGTGAGGAAAAAGCAGCATCTGTGGAAGTGACTGAGTTATAGCTTTTATTGTGTTAGTGAATGCTGATTAACTGTGGTTGGCCATCTTGAATTGGATAAGATTGTTCAGTTATAGATGTTTGTGTAATTATTATGTCCTAAAAGTATTATTAAAATCCAACCAGTGGTTCATGAGAGATTTTGCTGACAGAGTAATAGTGGATGCTGAAATCTTAAGCAAAAATCTTGCACAACAACTTACCGTATTTATTCAAGTATAATACGTGAAATTATACCCATAAAATCATCCATAAAGTTGGGGGGTATTACTATACTCGGATAAATATTTTTACTTTTGTATTTTACCTGAAATATCGGCTTTTTCACAAAATGCATGAGTCCTTAAATGAGACCACATCGTAAAAAGCAGTTGAAACAAGCTTACCTCTGACACTCCTCCATGCTTCAGAGTGAGATAATAACAGATCCAGGCAGGAGACATGATGTGAAAAAAAGAGAAAAAAGTATTTCTGCACCTTAGTAATGATAACAAACTAATGACATTAGTGTGTGACGGGGCCGCTCCTCAAACAACAACAAACATGTTCGTCTGTAATGGCTGCCGTCTACCGGTGTTTTGAAAAAGTTTGTATCCCTGAAAAAACGTTTCCCCACCAGAGGGGGCGCTCGTGAGTAGGAAGTAATCTGCTTTTCCCCCACAAGATGGTCCAAATCTCATGTGAAGTCTCTGACTTTTGTGTTGGCGCCTCCTGGTGGACTATGTGTAAAATGCCAGAATTCATATGATGCTGCTACAGCTGATATATATTTGTTGTCAAAATAACTTTTAGTACATATGTTAAAATAAAATGAACAGTCCAATGATCATTTTACTGATTCGTATAAAGACTGCAAAGACTGAAAAATCTTGAAGTCTGTATGAAATTGGAGGTAGTTTGAGGATTAAATTTTTATGCTTTTTAAGCTTAAAAAGGGGCGGTTGTATTATACACGAGATGGTATTATACATGAATAAATACGGTATATTATGTGTGGTACATTACACTTAGCACAATATTTGTAAAACTGACAGATTAATAGCCATTTTTGTCTTTCTCTTAGATAACTTGGCTGTGCTGACCAACTTAAAATGCACTGGCTGCAGCAGTTAATCAGCTGTAGATGTACAACCAGTGATTTCCTGAAATGTTCATTAAGATATATTGCTAAACTACTAACAAACACATGCACACACAGAGACTTGCAAAAAATATTTTTATCTTCACGTTTGGTTAACGTTAATCTTCATCCTTTTTACCATGAGGAAAAAAAACACTGAAATCAGAGTAAACAGAACTATAGATGAAAAGCTGAAATGGCTACAATTTGCTTTACTTTCTTATTGAGTTTAATATGTGAATTTATTAATCTTACATGTTTTTCTTTCTTTTAGTATGTGGACCATATTAAATTATGCAGCAAATTCAGAACTCCATGTCGATTTCATGTGGTTGGATGTGATATGTCCGTAAGTAACCTGATGATTACTGTGTTCTATGGATAATCCGTTATTTAAATGACATTACTGCTAAACATTTGTGCATCATGTGTGCTGAGTGGATAGGTTGTCAAAGCCAAAGGGTTCAAGAACAAACATTTTACCCTCAGGATGTAGTTATTTCAACCTATTAATTTAAAATGAATGCACTCTGAGTTTACTTCAATAAAATCAAAATATACAAATTGATATTTCCACTTTATAAACGTGTGTCTCTAAATAGCATGAGCTTAATGCTCTACACTGTTCTGTCTGATTCATCAGTCTTATTTAGTGCTTTCTAGGACACTCAAAGACGTATTACATTATTCATTCACACACTGATGGTGGTAAACTACAATGTAGCCACAGCTGCCCTGGGACAGACTGACAGAGGGTCTGCCATGCTGTGCCACCGGCCCCTCTGACCACCAGGCAAGGCAGGTGAAATATCTTGCCCAAGGACACAACAACTGAGACAGCTGGAACAGGAATCAAACCAGTGACTCACTGGTTCCTGGACGACTCCCCTGCTAGAAAAAGACAAGGCACAGAGTTCAGTTTTTCAAAGATGAATTTTGTTTTCTCATCGCTACAGCTTAGCCCTTCCTGAGCAGCAGCTACTGTTCAGGCCAGTAGGACTGAACCAACTCACAGCTGGAGGGTGTAGAATACAGCAGTTAGTTTCAATGGGCCTCATGCAAGAACCGTTGGTACGCACAGATTTGTTCTTAAATTGTGCGTACGAGTGATTTAGGAGACTTTGTAACATTCACCAATGTTTTCGTATTCCACGATTTTTTTCAGATATGAACAAAATTCATGAGTGGTCCAGACCTGTCGTATATTTTACGTGAAGTCAGTCTGCTGTTATCCAGACGGGTTTTCTTCACTAATAACTTTATATTTCGATAGTTTGAAGATATTTTGAGTTGAAAATAAATCACACTCCATAATTATGTTGACAAGAAGTTATTCTGCTTGAATTACAGTTATAATTTTAAATGTAATAATTTAGACTAACAATATAAATTGTCCATCCAGCCAGCTTATCCAGGTCGCGGGGGACAGCAGCAGAGAGACCCCGCTCTCCCCAGCGACACTTTCCAGCTCGTCCTGGGGGACTCCGAGACGTTCCCAGACCAGAGGGGATACATAATCCCTCCAGCAAGTCCTGGATTTTCTCCAAAGTGCCAGACTTATTTTGAAAACATTTTAAAATGCTTATTTCAGAACCGCAACTGAGACCACTTGAGACTGCGCGCACGGGGGGGGGTATGGTGCGCAGCGCTGCAGCTTCTGAATAAATGAAAATGATTTAACACAGTTGTTTATACTTTTAGCAGCTCATTTTATTCCACAGC